GTAATACTAAAAATAGAATCTTACAAACATAAAGGAGTTGATTCCGTTTGTAATATATCAAAGCTTCATTGAACTTCATTGAATTAAATATATTATTTTTTTATTCTCAACTTGAAGCTATTTTGCGATTTTATTAAAATATTACAAATGCCATTTAGCCTAATTTTTTCTATAGTTTTTAAAATCATATCAATATACCATTCAAAAATAGTTATTTCAAGATGCTGTTCAGTCAGTTTTAAATGGAGGTAATTCGTGTATTGTTTTGTCAAATCAAGTTAAATGAAGTTTGATGTATTTTCTTGTCGTGCACATATTAAAATGTTTCAATTCTTTTTTTCTCGGAATGGTAGATTAATTCCAAAAGTAAGTAATTTTTAAGCATTTGGTATTTTATTTTCTTAAATTATCTGTAGTTCTAAGTCTTGTTAATTGTTTATCTCGAGAAAACAAACGTTTATTCACAAAATAAATTTGAATATGTATTCCTATTTTTGAATAATTTCTAACATTACTTACCTATATGATGTAACTGATCTTGGCAGGAAGGTGGCATGGAATTATTTTGAAGTTCGCAAACTAGTCGTCGGGGGTCACTATGGTTTGTATTAAGCACCAAATACGTGATAAAAGGAAACTGACCTGGAAGTAAAAGTATTTTCCATATTTATTTTGTGTGTATTATTGGTAGATTTTAAGAAAAAGACATAATAGTAAATGTCTTAATTAACTTGAAATGATAAGTTCATAGTTAAAGACATAGCATAATTTTTTTTAAAAAGTTCAACTATGCATGAAATTTCAGTGAGTTGCACATTGTTGAAACGGTTTTCTTGGTATCCTGGATTAAAAATATTCACAGCCTTCCTGAAATGAGCCGTATTACTGATTGTTTATTACATTGTTTTTAACTTAAAGTTAAGTTAATTATTTTTATTTGTTTGCTATATTTTCTTGTGGATCAAAGATAAGCTCGAGGACTTATAACGCTAAAATACGGGGATCGAACCCTATGGAGGACACAACATAGTTAGCCTCTAGTGTAACTTTGTTCTAAAACTAACACAGCAATTGTTCGTTACACTAAGATCGTTCCGTATCACCTTTTCTAGAAATACAGATTAGCTCATTCATCATACCACAAGAGAGAGAGAGGTCAAAACGCACGTATAATAAAAGATCGATACTGTAGTCCCGCTTGTTCTCCAGCGTGTATATCAGTATAAGAATTTGATGACGTCAATCTTTAAAAACTTCGCTAGCCAGTCCCAATAACAAATCGATAGAATAATATTTCTTTATTTTCTTTTTTGCAAACCAGTAGATGAAAGAAAGAGCTCACCTATTAATACTATGCTATGATTTGCATCAATGAATAATGTATTTTGAATTATGTGTTATTTATTTAGTATGTGAGGTGTATTGTTTTTTTTTCAACCATATCAATTAAATTAT